CTCGGGCTGTCGATCTCTCGGTGCTGGACCTGGGAGAGGAAGTTGGCCAGGTCTAGACGTCATTTTATCAGACTGCGGTTGCGCTTGAACCTGTTGGGCGGGCATTCGTTCCTGTCGGGGAGGTGGCTGTCGGTTCTGGGGCGGAAACTGCATTGCTTGAGGAGGAATTTGGCTTGATGGAGTCGGTACTGGTCCTGTCTGGATATTTGTCTGTCCCTGCTGTGGTGGCGCCTGTCTGTACTGAGGTGTTTGGCGTTGTTGGAGGGGAAATTGCATGGTTTGAGTGAGAGTCTGGCCTGGCTGGGTTGGAGGCCCTCCTTGATGAAGCATCTTTCCAGGATGGGGAGGCATTTTGCTTGGCTGCTGTGACAATTGATCGGTCTGGGGAAACTGAGCGGCTTGATGCGGTAGTGGTTCAGTCCGAGGAAGTGGTTGACCAGGTCTGGAACCCATCTGGCCATGCTGAGGAGGTGCCTGGGCGGGATGAGCTAGTGGCTGAGGTGGTTGATGCATCTGCCCAGGCTGAGATTGAGGAGGAACCGGGCTTCCCTGGAAGCCTGGTTGGGCAGAAGACATAGGCTGTCCGGGCTGCCATACAGCTTGCTGAGCATACTCTCCACCACCCCAACTGGGACGTCCAACAGCAGGTGATATAGGTGAAGAAATTACTGGCGTGGTTGGACTATGTGAAACAGATTTGGAGCCCCCCTTCAACCACTTGAGCCACTTCTTTCCCTCCTTGCCTTCCTTTGCCCCAGCACCTTGTGAAGCCTGAGGTAGCATCTGCATAGAGACTGGGCGAGAGCCCTGAGGAGTCATAGGCTGCATGCCAGGCTGCCATTGTTGTTGATTTGGAGGAATCTGAACTTGCGGTTGCACTCTCCCGTTGGAACCTTGGCCATGGTAAGCCATTTGTTGCTGTCCTTGTGGAGGCATTGGGCCTGTTATTGGACTTTGTTGTATTTGCCCAGGAGGAACAGATCCCTGCGGGAACTGGGGCTGAGGAGGTAGTTGCCCTGCTGGACTGGCTGGATAAGACGAGCGTTTTTGCAACCTCGTTGGTGTAGGCTTAGGGGCTAGCGCTGGAGGCGTTGGGGCAGGTGCGGGAGGAGGTTTATGGAGAACATTCTGCACTGGCGTAGATATCTGCCCAGGACGAGAAACTTTGCCTTGAACCTGGGTTGGCATCACCTGGCCTTGCATAGGCTGCCCTTGCGATCCAGGGCCTTGCTGTGGAGGAACTCCCTGAGGTGCTCCCGAATCTCGGGCAGACATTTGTTGGTTTTGAGGTTGGGGTGCATGCCCTTGTGAGGGTTTTCGCTGCAACTGCTTCGGATTCTGAGCTGCCATAGGAGCACCTGGAGGAGCTTGCACTTGATGCATAGGCTGTCCTGCCTGGCCCTGTGGTATTGGGCCCTGCTGTCCTTGGAAATGGATAGGTGAAACATTTTTCGGGCTTTCAGCTTGCCAACTTGTTCTTCGACTACCCATCGGACTTGGTTGCACAGACGAACCTACTGATGCCTTCCTCATGTCTGTTGATACACTCACAGTCGAAGACCGGCTCATTGTTGCGTTCGGGGCTTCTTCGTACTCTTCGATGCGTCCTAGGCCTTGCTGTCCCTGTGGTGGTGGCGTGGGCGCAGTGGGGGGTTGTTTTTGTGCTGCAACATTTCCTTGAGGCAATTGTCGAAGGGACTGCGAACGTGATACTCCCTGAGGGGCATTATTATAACCCTGCCCAGTTTGTTGCGCCAAAGGTGATCCACGTTGGGCAGCAACAGGGTCTGCCCCGACCGAGCTACGTCTAGCATCCGTGCTTCGACTTAGAGATTTCTTGCGCAGCACGTCTCGGGCAGCAATGTTATGGCCTTGACCTTCAACATCTTGCATGGTAAAGTACGATCCTTGCTGATACTGATTGGTTGGGACCGACGGAGGCGTTGGTGAGAAACTCTGCATTGAAGAGGAGGTTTGAGAAACAGGAGAAGGCGTATAGTTCGGATTGATGCTTGAATTGGTTGATGCGCGACGACTTTGTTCCATGGGAGATGGCGTTTGAGTGGGAAACGACATGCTGCCGTGTCTCGAATCTGGCGAGACCACTGCAGAGCTAAATGATGAGTGTCGCCTGTTGCTGGCTATGGGAGGAGATGGATCGCCAGGGCCTTGACCTGGCATTTGCTTCTGTACAAAAGGTTCTTCTGGATATGGCAGGTTATCTCTGCGATATACGGGCCTATCGTCAGGATAAGGTGGATTATCAACTGGATAGGGCGGAAATGGAGTTGAAGGCCCTGCAGTTGCCGATCGTGGAAGACCTTTCGGTGGCACATTCTCAACTGGACCCCGGTAAGGTATATTTCCACCTTGTTGCGGCCCAGGATTGTAACGACCTTGAATTTGTTCTTGGGATTGTCCAGCCATCATATCAGGCATCACACTAGCCGGTCGTTTTGGCACCTGTTGTTGACCCATTGTACCAGGTGGTAACACCTGATGTCCAGTTTGGATGGTGGACTGTGGTCTTTGAGAAGGCAATAGGTCAGGCACAGTGTTGACTCTTTGAATCCCCATTCGCGGTTCCTCAAGACGCTGTTGCTGAACAAGAGGTGCTGGAGTCATAGATGGAGGATGCTTCCCTGGTGTAGGTGGCACGTAACCATGTCCTTGTGGTGGTCTTGCAGGACCAGGCACCGTTTGCTGACCCGGAGCTTTTCCACGGGCTGGCTTCAGTACAGAAGGCATATGTGATAACTCTGGTTGCTGATCCGGGACCAAAGATCCATTGTTGCCGATGCTCGGGGGAGGAGGCTGTTCAGGATGCTTTGGCGGTATTTGAGGACGTGAAGGCTCATCGAGAGGACGCTTTGGTGGTACTTGAGGCGGCGATAGGACATTGGGCGTACCAGAATGGCCTCTATCAGGTGGCCGAACAGGACTTGCGTCCATCATTGACCCCTCAGGTTGGAAAGTCGCTCGTCGAAGAGGCGCTGGGTTTGGGGGTATGTCGACAGAAATATCTGCTGGCTTATATGGTTGAAAGCCAGGCCGTGTCTCCTCAGCAGGCTTTTTAGATATCCGTAACGGCTGCATTTGGGCGCCATAGTCCCGCAGCGACCCAGGCGCAAGCTGTGGTTCCTCCTTTTTCTTGGTCTTCGGGCTGGTACGCTCTGGTAGTTCAGCCATCATAGAAACTGCAGTCTCAATAGGTGCCAGGACCATGTTATCCGCCATCTCGATCGGTGGAGGGTGTTTCTCAATATGGGCCTGAGCTGTGTCATCTGTCGGCATCTCGGCAATAATGCCCACAGGGTCATGCCGCGGAGGAGGCTCAACAACTGGCATCTCGTGAATCTCTTCAATAACTGTAGGCGGCACCAAGACGGGTTCTCCTGCGACTGGGCCCGCGATTGTTATCCCTTGAGCAGGCGTCGTCCTCTCGCTATTAAGAGGACTTACACCTTTGGAGGAGCTTTTCTCAACTCTTCCTTCAATTCCGCCCGCAACAACCCGCCTCGCAGCCTCCTCCTCCTCCTCTGCCAGTGGGCTCACATCATTATAAGTGCCAGGCCCCAGATACATAAAGTTTTCTGGCTGGAACACTCCATTTTCCTCATCTTCAAACCCACCATCCCATGTCATGCTTACGGGTCGCGCCGTAGCCGACATACCATAACCTCCATCTTCCTTTTTCGGGCTCAACCTCGCAGGTGTAGTCGTGCTCGCATATCTTCGGACCTGCTGTTGCGATTCGAGACGTTCTTCGGGCGCAAGGACTGGCGCTGGCGAAAACGTATCTATGAAGTCGGGAAACTCATCGCCTTCTTTTGGGAAGTGGTACTGAATATGCCCAGTTGGCTGGTACTTGTAGAACCAGCGTCGGCCATCGTAGTCGGATTCCCAGCCTTCTGGTAGGCCCGACATGGTGCTGTCGCTTCGTTTGCGCTAGGGAGAGGTCGATATTATTGCGCCGCTGCGATGGGCATGGCTGATGCTTGAAAGAGTGTAAGTTCCGTCCTCGGAGGTGTAGAGAAAACGAGGCTTTGGTGATGTGGCCGGGCGGTTAAGGGCGAGCTTCAGCTGAACTACGCAGCGACCAACCATTGGATACAAATGACCTCAGGCAGCGAGCGACAGCTCCGGAAGGACAAAGCACAAAGGAATTACAACAGTGATTCGGCGTTTAACATGCAGAAAGGATACGTGTATTAGTGGAGATGAAATGAATACTGCTAATATACAAACCCTCAGGTACACATTCCTTCAATTGTCAAACAAGCGCCCAAGGTTTCAATTGTCCAGCCTGATGATCCTACGCGGGAGCTGAGGGCACTCTCCACTTTGACCGTCGAGCTATGGGATCAGCTGTTTTGCTATTGGATATGGGCCTTGTAAGGCGGATTTAGAGGACCCTTTAATTACGCTAATAGCTCTAATTACCACCATGGTTTGGGTTCCCTTAGACTAGGGTGTCAGCCTTGATTGAGGGGTTCATTGGACCTGGAGTTGGAGTTCTCCTGAGAAACAGTGCGATCCTCCAGGACGAGAGCTTTATAGTGATCCAGAGTCTCACAGACCATGCATCCAAGGATACAATCACAACTGTCGGACTGCGATACCCGATGCTCATGGCTCGCCAACTAAGGTAGGTAGGTATTCTTTCTACATCAAACATTACATCACTTCCATCAGTCCAGGATCATCCCTGTATGTCCTCGCTTCCGTGGGTTCCATCATAGATTCCAATCAATGGCACCTCGTCTATGATACGGTCAGATACATCGTCAACTATTCATCACTTCAGCGTGGAACATTTACAGTCAAGTCAATCTTGTCGAATATTCGCTGTCTATATTCTATAGCTTATCTGACCAAAATATCAAAGCACACTCAATGTGCGTGATTAAAACGCAAAGAAAAGAAAATCATGCACCTCTCCAGATATACCGATCTGGATCTCTATAATGCTAGCTTTGTTCATAATCTCATAACAGTCCTCAGACAATATCGCCCGGACGTCGGCTCTTAGACCCAGTCCTGACGCGACCAAACACCCGGGATCGACTATCCGTTGAAGTACGGCGATCCACTCCCGAAGAACTGGCAAGCGATCGACGTTCCTTCTCATCTTCCATTCGGGAGCCCCGTTCCTTTTCTCGGATGGAAGCAAGTCGCTGTGCGTGGATGTTGTCTCGTCTGTTTTCGAAAACATCTTGGAAATCGTTCACATTGTTGTCAATGGAACCCATGCGATCCACGCCTCGGCGGCTGTAGGTTGAGGAAACATGGCTCAGAGGTGGCCCTTCAGAATGGAGAGGTCGTTCAGGGGCGGGCTTGTCGTGAAGCTCAACGCCACCATGATCGGGCTCCTTTCCATACGCGGGAGGAGGCTGAAGACCAGACCAGAACATGGGATGCTCGCGACTGCCACCAGGCTCGATGCGGAACGGTGACTGGATACCAACGTTGACCATCTGAGTCATCAACTCAGTGACAAACTTGTTATGACGGTTGAGACGGAGCAGCTCGTTCTGGAAGTTGGTCTTGTGGAAGAAGATCATGTTCATACTGCACGATCGCACTTCGTCAACCTTGGTCATCTCAGTAATGATGCGAGGCGCATAGTCACGCTTGTTCGCCAGACAAAAGTCGGTCATACGGGCCTTGAGTTCATCAATCATGTGCTGAGGGGTACCGAAGCGCATCACCAGAGGAAGAACATCGGCCAAACCGTTTGATCGTCGCTGATTCAGAATGAAGAGGTTGTTGAGAAGTGAGTTGGGAGCCTGGACGATGTGACCCTGCATCTTCTTGAACTCGGTGTAGAGGAGAGAAATCTCTGTCACGTAGTAATCATCACCCATCATGGTGTCACCGGTAGATCCGTAAACAGTCACACGATCACCAACATCAAAGGGGTGCTTGACAAAGACGAAGATGATGGACTGGAGGAACTCCTGGGCTGTGGCCTGAAGAACCCACGCTAGACCGAGTACCACAGTACCTGCAGAACCGAGGGCGGCGGCAGCTGAACCGGAGAGAATCGAGATAAAGACGATGATGGTGATGACGATGATGATGAACACAAAGACCTTGTCGAGCTTCTTAATCACCGAATCAAGGTCCTTGAGCGATGCGGCAATGGCCTTCTTTTCAAGGTGGATCTCATTACACACAGCTTCGAATTCGTCGAGTGAGATGTCGCCGTTCATGTCCTTGTCGAACATCATAAAAGCAGCTTCAGCCTCTTCTTCAGTCTCGAAGATCTTCTCCATATCTTCGAGATAGACAAGGTCTTCGCCCTCCTTGACAGCACAGCGATAGATCAGGCGGGCCAGGGTGTGAGCTGTAGACATGGTCTTGAGTAGTTCATTAACAACTCTGCGAGGGTGGTTGCTGTCAACCTTGCGGCCGATCAAATCATTTCCAACTCGGCCAGCAACATAACCGACTTTGTTCCATGCGTTTCGGGCGTTGTCCTGGAGTGTCTGTAGGGGAGTTTGCGCACCACTGGCAGAGTTGCTACCACGCTGGAAGAAGTAGTCGGTCTTTTCATTGTGGGCTTTGGCGTGCTCATAGAGATGGACAAGCTGACCAATATCTGCCTTGTTGTTGTCGATTCGAGTCGCGTAGGTTCGCTGATGGAAGGTGAAAGCAATCCATTGAATAAGGATCTTCTCGACAAAGTTGAGTGTCGCCAGAGTGAACAGGGCAATAATGACCTTGTTCATGATATTGACCCAGTTTGGCTTGCGATCCCGGAAGTTGTGGTTCAGCATGGTCGGTTCAAATGAGATGAGAATTGCAAGGAACCAAAGGAAGACAGCTGTGTGAAGGTCAAGCTGATATCCAATATCTTTCCACTTCTTGGCGTTGGTAGATCCAAAGAGCTTTGCAACAAGTTTGAAAGTTGGGGGCAGGAGACTTGTGATCATACGAGAGACCCAGAGAACTCCCCAGACGATCTCGAGCCAAATACCGAACCACATGAGATCGACACCGTTGACATCTCGTCGCTTGCCATCGGACTTGAGTGCGAACGCACCGAGCAAGACAGGAATGAGAAGGATAGCAGCACCTGGGATCAAATACACAACATATCGAATGAATCGAGGAAACTTTCTCAGAAACATCCAGAGTTTTAATAAAGAAGCATCGGGATCCACCTTCTTCTCATTATGATAGGTCTCGGCGGGAATGGGTGCATTGAAAGCATCCTCGGGCTCAATATTATGAGCACGCTTCCTCATCTGACTCGCATCATCAGCAGAAACAGCACGCTCGATTCGCAGAAGTTCGATATTATCGTCAAGTCGGCTGGCATCGGCGCGCTGTCCAATTGGTGATCTGATTGAGGTTGAGTCGTTTGTTTCATGCGGTGCTTGAAGAGTAGGGAATGTATCGAGTGACGGAGCAGATTGCTTTTGTTCGGGTGCTGGGTTTGGTGAATCTGTCCGTACTGGCCCTTGTTGCTGCGAGGCGCTAAATTGGGATGGGTTTCGTGTTGGAGGTGGTTGTTTGAGATTGAATTCTTTCAACTCCTTCTCCTCGAAGCCATGAGGAGGAGGATCGGAACTCATGATGGCCACTTTTGGTAGTATTCACAACTCGAGACTCTATGAAGGACAATACCCCAGGAAGCGAGATGAGAAATATCGCCACAGGCAAAGTCTAAGAAAGACCAGCCGAATGATGGTTAAGTGAGTGATGAAGTAGATATCCTAAAGAGCTCCGTCGTGAGGAAGTGGGATAAAAAACGAGAGACAAAGATAAATAAGAAAAATTTAAGTGAAGCGAGGTGGACTGATCAACCGATGATCTCTCACGACATCGATCGAACAGATTGATTCTCGCCTGGTGAGGCGACCAGTGCGCGTTTGTATACGCGCAAAGATATATTGCTTGGTGTTGAGGTGTTATGATGTCGTCACCCCAAGCAAATTGATCGACTTTTCGTCTCCCGCTTAGTTTGTATGAAAGAGAGATATGTTTTTCGACAAAGGGAAAAGAAAACAAAGTAGTAGGGAATCTGGGGGAATTGTTGGAAACCCTGCGGGCGACGGGGATGCTGTTGAGCTTTAAGAGATCGACCTGCGACCGTGGAGCACTGGAGACAATCTACTGTAGCCAAGATGGAGGAAGAATGGGTCACCTCAGATAGGCTTGCTTGCTTGGTCAGGGAGTGAAGAATGATTTTATGGAGGTGGAATTTCTTTCATGGATATTTTCATCCGATTCCACTGCAGCATCTATATATGTTACCCGTCTTTTGCGTCGCAATTTTCCTTCCGCTTTTCTCTTTCACATCCCATCATGCATACTTTTTTTTTCCTTCCCACCATCATCATCCAGATAGGAAAACATGCCCACACCTCCATGACCAAATCCAGCCAACACAGAAATCTTGCTCTAGTCTAGTGGTGATAAGGTCGGTCGGCCATAACCCGTAGCCCGTCAAAAGTGGAACCACGGGTCTCAGGGTCAAGGCAAGCCACCGGCCTTCATCATCGAGTAATGTTCAGTATCCACGCCGTCTCGCCGGGAGTCAAGACATGGGGCCAAGACGGTGTGGATGGTGTCACCCGTGGAACTCCCTAAATGGAAACCCCGAGGATGCCGCCGGGCCATGACACCCCCCAATTCAGGGCTTGGTAAGTTCTTTTGCTGAAATAGCCTGAACTTGTTTGGCCAAAATCGGTGCAGATCATGACTGAGTTGTCACTGACGAAAACCGGCCGAAGATCAGGGACGAAAAGCGTGAATGAATTCTTGCATCTGCAGTACAGACAAAAGATAGGTCGAGCTGACGCAGTCGCACTCGCTAACCCGAGACAAACGACGGGCGCAAATCCACTGGAGATGCACTGGCGACTGGATCAGGGGCTTAAGCAAGTCACCTCAGAAAATCATTGGACTTTTGGACCAAATCGCAGGGTTTGGAGAGCTGACGTCACAGCCAAGTAAACGACCGAGATGCGCTCATGATGGATCCTTGCTGTTATGCAAATGAGGCAATCTGAGGTCAAAACTCTTATTTTGACTTTGCTCGATCTCTGAGATATTGACGCATTTCGCCATCTCGTATTCTTGGTGCATTAGCTGAAAATAGTCGGCAGCCATGATGGTGACGATCATTTATGATGATGTTTATGGTGGATGGCTGGTGGCGGATTTAAAATCTTTTTCTCCCCGTTGATTCCCGTTCCCGTTGAGAAAATCAATCTTGAAATGGTTGTCCCCTGCATTCCTAGGTACCACACACTCACACGCACAGTGGCTTGTCGCCAGGCACTCCCGTCTTCAACTCACAGTGCTACCATCCGCGTCAGCGTGGGGGCTCACCAAAAACAAATTCTGTAGGGGCAGTTTCAAGTGCGCCAAAAGAGCCTCAGATTGTGAAACCACAGAAACTGAGGACCCTTAGACTACCACTCAAATCTTCTGCCCAGCCTCGAGACGATTCATGCTTGCTTCCGTCTTGCCGAAATCAAGAGCAGCCAAGATAAGGTAGCTTAGCTTTACACATCCACGGCGCGTTATAGGCTCTGGAGAACGGCTGAAAAGAGGACCACGTCATCCTAAGTTCAGGACCCAGTCTCCTCATAAGCTTTAGTATTATCATAAGGCTTAGGACTAAGAAGCATAAGCTTAGGCTTGAATCTTATAAACTCATCATAAACTTACATGGGACAATTAAAGGAAACAATTTCCAGATACTCAGCATTTCTTAATCCACGGGCCACGGATTTTAATCAAGGCCCATTATTTACAAATGGAAACCAGTATCTCTAATGATTGATCAAAGCTCAAGCTCAGGGGGTCTGAATTATTGGGAACCAATGTTAGCTGTCCAAATAAAGCTTTGCAAACGCCCGCAGCGCAACCATTAAAACCCCCTGTCCAAGCAAATGTTCGACATCAACGGTTAAGATAACCAACCATGATGATCATGATGGTTTTCATCTGAAACAACCAAATTTACGTTATCTTGTTTCCGAATATAATCATCCCTTATTCCTTGTCACCGCTTACATCTATCGAGATTATAGTTGTATATATGCTGCTCGGTAGAAGTTTAATTTTTATGATGCGTGGCAATGAAGCTCCACTGGATTTCAATCGTCGATGCAGACCCCGTTGGGGCTCCCTTGGAATCAAGCAACTCACACGTCGGGCCAAGTCAGGGTCTGCATGTTGGTGTCGCGAAGGGAGACTAATGATGCAGGAAGCGTGAATGTGCGCAAGAAACAGCTGTCACAGTCGATCATTACTTCATCTTGCATGGTCTCGGGCTTGGTATTTCGTCCGTCCCAAGCTTGTGAAACTTCGACTCACTCATCATAATCTGGAAGTTTAGGATGGTCTGAGGGAATCATTTACCCTAAGTTTAGGATAGATCATGATATCCTTTGAGGAACTGGTCTAATATTCTAATGATACTTAGAGATTTGGCTGCAAGAGATCTTTTACTTATCATGCTTAAAATTTTGGGCTAGATTATAATCAGCATCAAAAAAATAAGTGACTTAATCACATTCATCAGCCCAGAGATTCTCATGATGATTCTTAGAGTCAACGAATATCAGGAGCATGATTCGTCTAACAAACGTTACATCGACCCATCTGTAAGGAGCATATCATAACTCAGTTCCAAACCATCTTGAAGCGAGCAAATCTCGTTTCGATCGCGTTTCTCCATAATCTTCTCCCCAGTTGATCCAAGCAGATTTCCATGCACCTCGTCGGCTTCTGATGCACAGATCAGCTCACATGTCGTGCATATCCAATTGCTATCCGATTATCTTCAAGAGTTGTGCGTTGTCATGATGCTCATGATCCGACTCTGAATCATCGAAGACGCCGACGTCACTCACGCTGTACTCCATTCTTGAGGCATTCCATGTCGTAATTGCTCTAATCATGCTTATTTTCAACCCTGGCATTGACTTCAATGCATCTCCACTCACTCGGCCGTTCTGAAATCGGCCGTATTTCCGTGACGCGCCATCACTGTCAATATTTGCCTTATTAGTAGGACTTGACACTGTATCTCTTTGTCGATAGCGACATTCTAGTAAACATCATAGTTGCAATTATTGCGGATGCTGCCGTCCATAGTCCATCCGTGAATCAATTCAGTGTCCAAAACTGTGTCTATTCTTAGTTGCACCCCACCTCTAATCAAACTAAATTCATGTCCTTTAAGCAAGCTTGACGCTCCAATCCACGCCAATTTTGGCTCCAACTCGGCCAACAACCGCAAAGGCTGCGCGGCTGCCCTTGGCTGCGTGATATTGAACCTTGGCAGTCCATGTTCGTCCCTCAGACTCGACCTGCACCTCCTTCTGGTCCCAGGTCTTGGGCGCACCGACAATGATGATCTTGTCAACGTGCACCTTCTCCATGGCCTTCAGCCAAGGGCCGGACTTAATAGACTTGGTGTCACGTCCCTCGGCCTCAGTAGAGGTCAGGGTGTTTCCACTAAGCGTGAACTTGCGGTGAATGTATTGACCTTGCTCGTAATCAAACGAGTCGCCATCATCCACATAGAGCTCACCCTCAGCGGCGCCAGCCTTCGAGGCTGAGACAACAAGTGTGTAGTCGTCGAATCGCATCAGAGCGCTTGATCGTCGGGGAATATCTCGTCGAGGAATGATATGGCCACCTCGCAATAGAACAGGGATCTTGTCAAGGGGCGCGCTCACTGTAAGATACTTGCCCTTGCTGGTCTTTTGAACATCGTAGGTAAAGTAATCATAGTAGACCTCGTCATCGGGAATCCAGACATCGACGGACTCCTTGTTCTGCTCTGTGACTGGCTTCACCAAGAGGCCGGTTGAGCCGACGAAGAACTGATCTTCAAGAGCAAAACCAGCCTCCTCTGAGGGATGGGTCCAGAACATAGGTCGAATAATGGGGCTTCCGTCCTGGGCAGCATTGTAGAATGCAGTATACCAAGCAGGGAGAAGCGAGTATCGGAGTCGGATGGCGGCGGTTGTAATCGGCGTGTAATGCTCGCCTAGGAGGTAAGGCTCGCGACGGCGAGCATCAATGTGGGCATGAGCTCGGAAAAAGGGATACCAGATACCAGTCTGATACCAGCGGACGAGAAGATCCTTCTCGGGGTTACCAAAGAAGCCTCCGACGTCAGCACCAGCGAAGGGGAAGCCCGAAATTCCTTGGTTGATGGTCATGGGAATAGATGTAGCCAAGTGTCCCCAATCGGCCTGGTTATCTCCGGTCCACATAGCACCAAGCTTTTGCGATCCGGCGTAGAAGGCTCGGGTCAGGATGAATGGTCGTCGAAGCTCGCCCTTCTCGCGGTGAAGGAGAGCCTGGAACGTTGCATTCTGGAAGGTCAAGCCGTTCAGGTTGTGGACATCACGGTGCTCCCATCCTCCATGGTGAATGTTGTCCTTGGGCATAGTCACCTCGGGCCCATTGAAGACTGAGGGCTCGCTCATATCGTTCCACATCCAAGTGTTGGACATGGTTCCCTTGAACTTGTCAAACTTGAGCATAGTCTTCCACCATTCGATAGCCTTAGGGTTGAAGCAGTCGATCCAGTTGGACGCTCCAGGCCAGCACCATCCTTCATAGAGCTTCTGCTCCTTGTCATGAACACCAAGGTCTTGAGCGACCAACTCTTCGGAAGCAGCATAGTTGTCGGTTTTCTTGATATGAGGGTCAAGTAAAACAACTAGTTGACGACCGTGAGCGTCGAGGTGCTCACCCATGTCAATGGGATCGGGGAACGAGTGAGGTTCCCAGGTGAAATACTTGCGATCATCTGTGTACTCGAGGTCGAGCCAGATGACGTCGTATGGAATCTTGTGCTTGTCCATGTTGCGATCAACATTTCGAACATCATCGCTGGAGATGTAGTTCCATCGGCATTGGTGGTAGGCAATTGCGAATTCTTGAGGCATAGCGGTGTAGCCAGTCAACTCGCCATAAGTCTTGGTGAGGTCCTGGGGGCTAGGACCAAGAAGAACAAAGACATCCAGAAGACCAGACTCAGAGATCCAATGGGTATGAGTGCTAGTCTTACCACCAACTCCAAGGCTTAACGGATTCATTTGGTTCTTGGCCTTAGTAATATCGACCCAAGTCTCGGCGACGTTGAACCAGAAAACGCCAACTGATGAACCTTTGCGATGCGCCTGCATGAAGGGAATGGAGCCGTAAAGCGTCATTGGGCTGTCGAGAATGTACTCGAAAACGTCGGCGTTGTACATACGATAAGGCTCATCGTAGTTGCCGTCTCCGCCACGCGTCTGCTTCAGGGATAGAGGACCAGTGTGTTCCGGAATGCCAAACACATGCTCATACCCGTGGAAAGTGATGTCCAAAGCAACACTTTCGGGCCCTCGGGGTTTAGTGTCGGTATTTCCACCGAAAGATTCGTCCCACCATGTACTCTCATCTTCAGCAGCTTCCTCACCTTCCTTGTTCTCAATCTTGGGCCTCCAGTGCTCCATATTGAGCAAACCGCGGTCGTTAAACTTGACGTGCGAGTTGCCATCGCGTCGGAAGTCGATTTCGAAAGGCGAAAACTTGATGATGGCTTCCTGCTTGGCCTCGGGTCCATACTTGATATTGATCTGAGACTTATCTTGGAATGCAAGTTGCGCCTCCTTGTCAAGGTCCAAACCACCAACAAGAACCCAATCGTCCGCCTCGTTGTATCTTTCCTTTCGGACAGGACTATCGTCTCGCAAAACCACATCTTTGTTGCGTCGCTTCTCTTCGTCCATTGTGACTCGGGCGGCACCAGACTTGAGGAATGAAATTGTAAGGGGCAGGCGGACGGTCTCTCCATGGCTGTTGATGGTCTTGACAACCACGGCCTGTAATTTTCCATCCTCAAAAACTGCCGAATCGGCTGAGATCTCATATGGGGCTTTCCAGTTTGAACCTTGGGCAACAGCGTTGTCGGCGTAGGCGCGATTTCGTTTGCAGAAGCCGGATTGGTCGCATTTCTTGAAGTCCTTGTCTTTCACGGCAACTGGGAAGACTGTAAGCACAGCCCTTCGTCAGTACACTCATCGAAACTTACTAGCTGACTGGAAAAAGCAGGTAAGTGTGCCTAGTAGCAGCAATAGCGCCGCCCAGCGAAAGGACGACGCCGTATTCGACTTCATGATGTCGAGACGGTCAGGAACCAGAGCTCAAGTATGAAGAAATAAATGAACGAGAAAATGGTCAATTAGAATGAGATAACACGTAGACATCAGATATGGTCCCCTGGCCTATATCCTCTGTCCAGTTGCTGGTTTAAGAGAATGTTATTGTTGTTTATGCTGGGATAACCTCAGCTTTGATGATGTCGAAGTCAAGTCAAGCTGTCCCTAAGCTCCCCCTGTGAAACTCCATTCCGGATTGGTGTTGGTTTCAGACGCAGGGGAGTGGATACCGAAATGGCGGGGCAGATTCGATAAAAGATTAGACCCGTTAACCAAACATTTCAGTCCTCGATTTCTGAGCTCAGCTTTTGCGTTGAATGCACTGTAAGAAGCTCTTTTGATGCAGGTACAGTTCGTTTACACGCTTTGAGTTTTGTAAGTAGAGAAGTTTCGCTACCCTTCAAGGTCCTCTTTCATGAATTTTGTCTTAATTTGAGCTATGCTAACTCTCATAGTATCGCTTTTCTATCTTTTTCTCTAATCCTCTCCTTACTCCTGTTTTCTCGTTCAGTAATTTATATCTGTCCTCGAGAACTAGTTAAATCACGTGTCCGTGTGAATTCTCCAGATCTCGCACCCAAGACCCCTCAACGCCAGCTCATCATGGCTGCAGAGGAGCCCCGCCAACGTGAAGACCCCGCCGCCAGCGGCAAGAATTGGAAGCAACAGCAGGGACGGAGAAGTGCGGAAAATCTGGCCCCGCGATTTTTTGCTCTTCTCTTCGCCCTCCTCGCCCTTTATATCCTCTTTTCACCGCCTTCTTCAAGCCTTTCCCCTCCAGTCGATCCCTCCTCTACCTCTACCTCTTACTCTGTTCCTACATCTCAAGTCATACCAGACAAGAATATCGCCAAAATGTCCTCCTCCGAGCAGACGTAAGCTACCCCGCCATCAGCTTCACCCCATATGCTCACTATTTGGATGGTTTGCTAACTTTATCGCAGCTTCATCGCTATCAAGCCAGACGGTGTCCAGGTAAACAAACGTCGACCAGTTACACAATTCATTTGATAAGAGCTAACAAGGCTCCCATAGCGTGGCCTCGTTGGTCCCATCATCTCTCGATTCGAGAACCGAGGGTGAGTAGTTTTGTCTGCCGTTGTTGCTATGGCTGTTAACTTTTTACAGCTTCAAGCTTGCTGCCATCAAGCTCGTCACTCCCGGCAAGGAGCACCTCGAGAAGCACTGTGCGTCATCCCCAAAAGTCGTTCGATATATCAATTCGCCCTAACAACGTTATAGATGCCGATCTCGCTGGCAAGCCTTTCTTCCCTGGTCTGATTGAGTGTATGGCTTCCGAACCCAATTGATACAAGCAAATCTAATTTCATGTAGACATGAACTCTGGCCCCATCTGCGCCATGGTCTGGGAGGGCCGTGATGCTGTCAAGACTGGCCGTGGTAAGTTTCCAATCATTGAATATCTCTCTCCATTTTCTAATTGCACATCTAGCCATCCTCGGTGCCACCAACCCTCTTGCCTCTTCTCCCGGTACCATCCGTGGTGACTACGCCATCGATGTCGGCCGCAACGTCTGCCACGGCTCCGACTCCGTCGAGAACGCCCAGAAGGAGATTGCTCTCTGGTTCAAGGAGGGTGAGGTCGTCTCCTGGAAGTCCGCCCAGTTCAACTGGGTCTACGAGAAGGCTTAAATTGTCGATGTTGTAACGCCCTGAATGACGGAATGGAAAAAGCACATACAAGTGGGATGACTTCATCTCTGTGGGTATAACAAAATTCAAGACAGAAAATCTTCTCAAACCCTTCGTGCTCGATTTCAAAGTGACTTAAGGTTTGCTTGTGAATATTCCTTTGGCTCTCATGAGTATCCCGGCAAACCATGGCGTAGCCCATACACTGCCGATGATACGAACCGGCAGCAAAGCCTTAGTGATTGCGTACGCGAGAGCAACTTCAACTACCACCTTGTACCGCCCATCTCCACGATGCCAGCGCTCCACAGCGTCCTCGGATTTGGAGCCCGGGTGTGTTGTAGCCGCATTTGAGGCCTCGCCGTCTTCGTTATGACCGAAACCAAACCACCCCTTGCGTGTGAAGTACCTCTCAAATCGGCCAACTCCATCTTCGACGTAGCTTCCAAAGTGGCCCGTTACGTATTCCACCGGCACATAATTGGTGTAATGAAAAAGGCCAAATAGCCCTAGCACCGGCACAATTGCTGTAATCTCGTGGAGGATCAAGAATGAAACAATGTGCGAGACTGGAGCGTTGCGTAAACCGCTGGTATATCTTTGTAAACGTCGAGGAAGCTTAGATGTGATGCGGTCGATGCGGGAAGCTTGGGTTGACTCAGCGCGAGGATATGATGTGTTGATGCGCGGGGCAGCGCGAGCACGGAGGTTAGGGCGGCAATTGAAAGATTTGAAGCTGCGACGCATATTGAGATTAGATATCCAAGCTTAGGTGAGGTGCTTTGTTGGTAGCGTTGAGTAAATCGAGAGTTTCGACAGCCGTCGTTGAATTCTATGTGGAGCTGCTGACGGCTCGATTTAGCCCGCGCTCCGCGCTGTTCAGGGTAACCAGTTAGCCAACAATGAGATAATCGTCCACTGTGTGCTTTACATTTATCGATCCGAATTTCTTTCGTGCGGTTCACTAGTTATTGATGTTAAGATATGCTATATTGAGCACCATCCGAGGTTTTATGAACAGAGTCGTTCCACAATTGCGCTTGTTGTGAGTTATCATGGTGAGTCTAAGAGTTGGCCTTCGATCACTCGTTTTTGTACTGCGGTATCATTTTGGGATATTTACCAGAATCCAATTTCACCGATACAAATCGAGAAGCCATCTCAACTACCTCTAGGTATGGACTTCGAATCTTTGGGCAGTCCCATTCTGCTCAGACGGGACATACAGCAATACAATTGACTGAGGTCAATGAGGTGTGGTGCTCGTTCTTCAAAACATCATCGATGATCACTCTTTCCTGATGAGATATTTCGAACCCCAACAACCTTCACATGCCGCGAGAAATCATGTGGTCATATCAAGATGTAAGTTCTGAGGGCAGGTAAAGAGCATTGTCCGCGTCATTTGCATCTGTGTTCTTTCCTCCTCAGTCCAAACCGCCTGCTTGCGATGGACATGCTCCTGCCCAAGACGCAAGACAATGACCTCAGAAGTCCCCAACAAGGTCCTCAGAATGAGGCGACTGTAGCTGTAGAAGAAGGAACCTAGTCAAAGTTCTTCCTTATGATATGTCCGGCTTTTTAAGATTCTTCTCCGTCTGTTCTCTTCCCTTCTCCTTTTCATCTTCCTTCATACACATCTGCATCCCCTCACTTCTCACAAGCCCTCCAATTTGCTGCCTCAAATCACTCATTCAATCTCAAAATTCTGCGAAGAACTACCGGCACTGCATTCCTGAAGCAAGCCTTTCATTCAAAAAACATGGTCTCTGTCAAGTTGGCGGCCGTTGGTGCCTTTCTGGCAACTGCCCAAGCCCAAATTCGTCACCCCAATGAGGACCTGATTCTTGCCGACTGTGGCATTGGTGACAACAAAGCTCATCCTGGATGGTCTACTTCTCGCCAAGTGAACTGGTACCAGGACATTCAGTGGCCTGACGATGTCTCCAAGTTTCCCCCTCCACCCGATCTGGAGGTTGAAGTTCCCTACGCAGATGGAACCTACCCCTGGAATCCCAAGGGAACCACCGTCAAGCTGTCTAATGGCGTCGTCTGGACAGCTTACATCAACCCAAGAATCGCTGACGGTCAACCAGCTGGGTCTGCCGTCACCACCAAGGAAGGCGGTCAAGAACTTACCTGCTATGCCTACCGTGGTCGCCCTGTCAGCGCAGCAATCAACACGACTGTCAACGCTGATGCGGTCTGCTTGACTGCCTTTGTCTGCAACCGTGATAACCGCGCCCCTCCTCGCCCCAGCGGCATGGAAAATCCCACTTCTACCTTGGAAACATCTTCTGCCCCGCCTGCCACGACTACATTTGTCTCGCAGCCGCCAGCAACACCTACTCCCACAGGTGGTGAGCCAAACCCTCCAGCTGACCCCAATGCTGGTAAGCTATTTGTGTCTATTCTCCTCAGCCCTCGTTTCATCAATTGGCCCAACACTTGGCAAGCCTTTATCGAGAAGTTTTCCTGGGATCGGAACACCGGAAAGTGCGTGGGTGAACCGGTGAAAGGGGACGGGTACACCATTAACATCGACTGTGCTGGTATTCAAATTGATTCCGACTCTCACCTGACACTTATCATGATCAAAGCTCTCCATGACCTTGGCATGAACAGCACATTCTTTAACCAGAACCCAACCGTACCAGGAAAGCGCAACTCCACAGCGGATCATTGGGTGGTCATGCCTGAGTCTTTTAGTCTGCAGGCCATTGACGTTTCTCATCAGAAAACTATCGGCTACCTCGCATACAACACTACATACGACAATTTCCTCACTGGACCCTGCTCGTCTTGCCAATCTGAGCGATTCAACAAGGAATTCTTTGATCCGGTTCTGGAAGCTGTCAAGGGAACCTACCCTCTCTACAATAGCTACAACATTCAGGCCCAGTGCAGTCCGTGGATGGCATGCTGGTAAAATGGGAGGGCAGTGTCTTTCATCTGTATTCTGTGTGTAGTGAGTTTTACGGCGTGTGGTGGTCATGTGGCTTATGAGAGTTGAGAAAGGGGATGATCAATTTTGGTGGTTCATATGGTATTAATTCCTTCGCTTCTCGATATGTATTTCGACGACTTTACTCTATGATGAGCCATAGTTATATCATCCACTACAAGCACAACTGAACTTTGATAAATCTCGTGACGAACTGAATGACGCCCCTTTTCAAACTAGATGAACGTCTATCCAGGAGGACTCGCCAGTGATGTGTTCTCCAAACATAGCACCGTGAACATAAGCGTCGCCGACAAACTGAAAGTCGCTCCCTGAAGGACCCGATATTCAAAGAACCAATGGGCTGCACAGCAACGATCATGATTTTATCCCCCGTCTTGGTCTGAAGCGGAACTAGACGTAAGTATCCTGGAATGTTTAAATCATTTAATGCTGAGGCCTCTCCGGTGCTGAGGCTTCGGGCACCGAATAGTAAACAGACCCATATAGTGAACACTCACCCGTGGGAACGGAGGGGGGTGGTTGCACGGTTGAGTGCACTGGCAAAGCTATGTGAGCGGCTGACCTTCAGCCATTCCAATAGGTCACATAAACCCTTCGATAAAGATGAGGTCTGACATTCGACTGTGCATACTATACAGAAAGATAAGAGCAATGTATATTGACGAGGCATCCCAGACTCAGACGAACTCCTGTGGTACTATTCCATAGGCACATCAGAGTACTCACTTCCGAAACAGGAGGCCAATAGAGAAGTTTGATACATATACAATGCGCTGACCGACTGTGATGATTGAATACATAAGCCATGCCACTGATCCCGTTGGAGTCAAAATGCGAATGCTATCTCACAACAATAAACATAGACTCAAGTCTCAAACAAGATATTTTCTGGGTGCAGATGCAGTAATTTGTCATCTTCATATTGGTTGGAAGTATTTAAGAGGAAAACGAAAGAGAAGAAAAGAAGTAGCCCCGAGAGGGTATGGGAACCTCATATTTTGGTTACGCTTTATCTAGGTATCTAAAACTAGCGAAAGGGAAGCCAGTATTGTTGCTTGGCGCCCTAAGAGGAGACTTTGATTCAACTGCTAATCTCGTGAATGACAGTTGCTCCGTCTGGCATCCAGCATGCGGACATACTAACCAGCTGCCACACAGTTGATAAATGCATTAGCTATGAGTATTTGGCTTAAAGCACCATTGAGTTTAACCCGAGATACACTCGAGAGGACCTCGGTTGGTCGACGACGGAAGAGATCAACCTCAACAGAACAACGACATCAAGCCCTTGCCATATGGTCTGCCAGGGTGGGTGTGCTGTCCTTAGATGGACATTGTTGAATGATAATTGGTAAGGTACTCTAGGTACTTGCATATAAAGTAATTAAAATCTCCACGGTAACTATCATTATAATTCAGGTAATGTTCAACCGTGGTATTTCTTTGTGGCTTTACTGGCTATGAATCACTTACTACCTTACCTGGCTTGAAATTCGCTTTTGATTTTTCCGTGGATGCTCGTATCCTTTAACTACGGTATTCCTGTATAATTCATGCGAACTTGCACAGCTGACCTTTTGCTCTTTCAATTTTACAAACCTTCACATCTCAACTCTGACCCTCGTTCCCCACGATCCTCTTCTATCCTTCAAACTTCACTCCTCACTCTCCATTCATCCATCCCTCCTCTCTCAACCCTCACCTCGAGTGCCCAGTCCTCGCTATTTGCTCTTCATCGCACACCCCTTTCGAGTTGTTGACTCAAAACTTTTACCATTTTTCAACTCCTTAAGAATCACAGGACCCCCTGCTTTCATCGTCTATTCATAATGTCCAGTCAACATCAGGATATTGCCCTCAACCCCACTGGCTGGGGTTATGCCACTGGACAGAACGGTCGCGTTCGGCGTTCTCTCATCCGCTACAAAAAGTCGTCGCTGCCTCAGGGCGAAGAATTCCAAGCAGAAGTGGCGTCTGTACAGGATCCCCAGGCTCTCGATCTCGCGGACACCAAGAAGTAGACAGATGGAGTTATCCTGTGAGTCCTCAGACAACCATCGCGCCCTTAGAGAGACTAAACGTTCTACTTGTCTCTATAGGAGCCAGCTAGGAGTTGTGGTGGGGCTCCTCCTATCTCTCAGTTACCAGACCCCCGTAGATATCAACCTCATCGGGGACCTTCGATGCTGAGACAGGTCACGTCGTCCCGTACCAAGCCGGATGCTTGCTTGTCATTCGTCCTCTGTGGCGTAACAACGGAGAGTTCCATGTTCTCTACAAGAACGACGAGCACCGGCCAATTCGACTTTCGATGAAACTTCCCAGGGCGTCGGCCGACTCCCATCTCGTCTACTACGACGAGTGGACGACCTCTCTCAAGGGTCCGATGAAGTTGAATTCGGTCCCGAAGAAGCTTCCTAGCTTCTAGAGCGAGCGAAAGAGAAGAAGGGGACCTGACCAGAAGGTGATCAATAATATAACAAAAACCGCCAGTAAGGCCATGATGTTCCATTCCGCGGTACGGGCTTAATCATCATCTGATCATTTGGGATGGGTTTAGGATGAGTTTAGCCTAAGGTAGTCTAAATCATCATAAATTTAGGACTAAGCTTCCCTAAGTTTATGTAATCCTTATGATATGTTGTGCCCTCAGTTGCATGTTCAAACGCAGTCACGAAACCTGATAGGGCAGTGACAAGGGTGGCATTAGAGCTGGGAATGTCTCCACGATTTTGACTGTAAATAGCTGCTCTAACACTGAGTGAAACTATGTAAAAGTCTCCTTGTTGTTAGGACAGGACACTCAAGCTCATGGTGTAGTTAGTTTATGATTCAAGAGCCTTTGTGGCATTTTCTGCACACAAGTCAAAGTTATTATATATCTCTTTTGTTCTCTGAATTCAATCCTGATAATTTAAACCTGATTTAAAATTGTTGGCAGAATGGAGACATACAAGAGTGTAATAACTGCTAATTAGTATACCAACTTGTTCCACATCAGCGACATACAAATATCAGCATCGCCAATATGCTTCGCCCCATTTTGTTTGGCCATCGTATTCCATGTATGGGGGTTATGATCAAGCAGTCGAGAATACTTATCAAAGACATATACTCTGTGCTGGTAGATATGCAAAAAGGAAGACTGGACTTACACACACCACGCTTGTCTAAGGGAACTCGACAGACAGCCAATTAAGGTATTTTTCAAAGAGCAAGCCAGTGGACTAAGTGGGTCATGATCCATTGTTCCCCACAGCTCGCGCAAGTGTTTATAGTGTCCAAGATCAGCATGGATCCTCAACAAACACATCCGGTGTGGTGTATCGGTTTATCATTCCGCGTTTTCAATTGCACTGCAATAAATGCCGCGGCGAGCGGGGTTCGACTCCCCGCACCGGAGAATCCAGCGAGCTCAGCATGAGTTCGTGGTCTTTTTGTGGTGTTTTGCAATTCGTGGTCATGCATATTGACCATATCCAGAGCCAGCGGGAGTTTTTAGCGATATATTCCCTCCTCTGCGTCAAATCAGTTACTTGAAGGCTTTCCTTATTGGATTGTCTATAAGAATCCTGATCAGTGAACCACTTTGTGTGTGAAATTTTGTCTCTGAGGTTCTTTTGAGTTTCGCTGGTAGAACACCCGCAACCACTCAGTACTATCTGAGGGGTCAAACCATTTCTAGCAGATACGAATCCCATGATATGAATCCCCAGCTTGTATACTCGGTACTACAGTAGGATAACTTCGTCTTACTCTGTTTCTCATCATGTTTCACTGCCCGGTCAGCTTCGCTCGTAGAATCGAAGCCAGCGGACTTGCACAAACATGGTAATTACGTGTTTTCATCAATGCCGTAATTTCTAACAATCCAGTTCAGTCACTCAGCTTTCAATTTGGCCTCATTATTGCTCCCAGTGTCAGATCCATTGATTCTTTGACATCTGCCAAAAACGGCAAAAGACCGTCGACGCCGAAATAGAATTGTGGGGCGGTCCGTATCCCGGGATCCCCACTAGCCGTCACCTTCCCTCCACCTTGTCCGAAACGTACCTTCCTTCCGCTTCTCTGAGTCTAACCCAACATCATTGCATTTCTTGTCTAGAGTCTGTCTACAACAACGTTGATTTCTTAGATTACATCCTTTCTTTCTCGTCACTGGCTAGCGTAGGTGCTCCCCCCCTATCGACTACACCCCGCATCATGACGTCTACCGCCCACCGCCGCCTACTCCAAGAGTATCGCGCTCTCACCAACAATCCACCAGAAGGCATCACCGCCGGCCCCATCTCTGAAGACGACCTACTTCACTGGGAATGCCTTATTCAAGGTCCTGAGGGTACACCCTTCGAGGGCGGCGTCTTTCCTGCGGAGCTCAAGTTCCCAAAGGACTATCCGCTTGCCCCGCCATCAATGAAGTTCCTCGCCGATGTGTGGCACCCAAATGGTTCGTCAACTCTTCACTCTTTCGCATGCTCATACTAACTTTCTACAGTGTACCCTAGTGGTCTGGTATGCATTTCGATCCTTCACCCTCCTGGCGACGATCCCAACCATTACGAGCACGCATCCGAACGATGGTCACCTATTCAGTCTGTCGAGAAGATCCTAATCTCTGTCATGAGCATGCTCGCCGAGCCCAACGACGAGTCTCCTGCAAACGTTGAGGCAGCGAAGATGTGGCGTGAGCGGCGCACCGAATACGAGAATAAAGTCCGCGAGGGTGTCCGAAAAATGCTGGGTCTATAACATGTAGATACTTAATAGCAAGGAGTATTGGCGCACATCTTTGACACGGCGAGGCATGGCATAGCATGGTGTTCGGCAGCGGTATCGCCGCTAAGTAAAATTCATATACTCATCCCACATCTGTCTCAAGACACGCTTCTAAGTGAACGCTCTACAAACTCCGTCCCTCATGCTCATGCATAGATCATAGTCCATTGTCCGCCTTGAACTTATCCCAGCTCTCGTTGAGAGTGCTAAACACTAATCCTGCGATCAACCTAACCTCGGTACTTGCATCTTGAGGAAGCTGTGATGTGTTAGAAATACGTCAGACAGGGTGTTATGTGATATAATGCTGACCTTGTCAGGATGTGTCTTTGCGATTGCTTTCATATACGAGATCTTGACCTTATTGTTCATAACTAGTTCGTGCAAACCCACCTTCTTCCATCCACTGTTCTCCCACAGTACGCTATCAAGGCTAGCAAGGAGAGCCCGAATATTGTCTCGTTTTCCGTCGCGCCAGGCAGATACCTTGGCATCGACCTTCTCCGAGAGCACAAACTTCTCGTCGTCCTCCTTGGCTGCAGCCTCATTTGCCTCGCGAAGACGCGTAACGGCCTCGGAGCTCTTTTGAGGTCCAAGACTGGCCGTTGCGGAGGGTCTAGGTCGAGGTTTGGCGGCCGCTGGCTTCGGTGCTGGCTTGGGCTTGGGCGCCAGAGTGTTCTGGCATCTCTGTCGACCCTTGATGGCATTCGATCCACCAACGCCACTTTCGACACACAATTGCCAGACCGCACTAGCATCACCCCATTTCTCCATCTGTTCCAGAGCCTCTGCTTTCCTACTCAAGGCCTTACCGTAAAGGTCTTTCAGGTCTCGGTTTTCGTCTACTCCATTCTCATTCTTCACAGCCACCACTTCTCCTTGACCATTGCCAGGACCGATAAGCTTGAGTGCACCATCGGCATCTTCGACAGCCTGCTTGGGCTCTCCAGTCTTTAGCGCAGTCAAAGCACGATTGCAGAGGAGGAGGATGGCAAGAGGATGTGTCGGTGGGACAGCTGATAGCGAAGACGAGTAGGATGAGTGGGCAGCAGCATAGTCACCTCTCTTGAAGTGAGCTGTGCCTTGAAGGCGGTGCTGTGTAGAGGTTTGAAGCGCGACAGGGCTGATAGAAGGGATCTCCCGAGCTGGACGTGGTGATGGTCTTGAGACAGGGGGTGATGGTCTCTTAGCCTGTGGAGTTGGTCGAGGAGAAGGCTGAGCGGGTCGTGAAGGCATAGGCTGGGATGGTTTAACTTCTTGAGAGTTAAAGAGTAGATCTGCTTCTGGTTCCGTTGGCTTGGGTGGCGGCGCTGGCGAAGAAGCCTGTGAAGATGTCTTATTTCTCCTATTGGGGCTTCTATATGTAGAGATCTCATCATCTGCCGCCAGTCTGTTGAGTCGCGATTTAGAATCAAAAGCCGATGTCGGCGGTGGGACCTGATGTTGCCATCGAGGTGCTGGACTGGCACGACTACCAGCAGAGTGAGCGGGTGATTGTCCCCTCGATGTCTGAGGAGTAGCCCTCTGCTCATTAGGTCGACTGTTAGTCCGACGAGGCTGGGGACGGCCACCAGCTTCAAGCATCATCGCTTCGTCTGTAGCGTCTTCTCGTGCCTTTCCTGCGCTCTGAGATCTGGACTGTTGCTGTGCTTCCCGCATCCACTTAGGTTGGCTTGGGTCGCCTTCTTGTTGGAAATCAGCGACAGCCTGCTGCATCTTCTTCTGTCCGGTCTTCCAAAGTGAGTTGGCAGTCTTGAAGAGACTGTTACCCATTGCAGCAGCTGTCTTTGTCAAGTCCTGATCGCCTGCTGCAGGCGACCTGCTATCGCCTCTTGGAGGACGGCTTCCGGGCCTACTAGAACTAGCAGACGAGGGTTTCCCCTGCGCCTGTTCCTTGGATTTTCGATGCGCCTCGTCCAGAAGCCAATTGACCGCAGCTTGAGCATTGTAACCGTCACCACTCTCAACCAAAGCACGTCGGGCATCGTCAGCGGAGAATCCATAGTCCACAAGTTGTGCCACAGCTCGATCAAAAGGATCCTTGTTGACTCGTGGTGTTCTTTCAACATACTGCTCACGTGCTGGGATGGCTTCCTCTTCAGATGAGCTTGAGTCCTCGTCCTCAATAGGCTTTCCAGGTTCCGCATGTGGTCTGCTGGCTTCCTGTTTGCGTCGTACTTCCTCAACTGGGCGTGCAAGATCTCCCAAAAAGTCGTCATCATCTGCCAATTGAGTAGACGCCGCAGGAGCAGCAGTGGGCTTCATCTGGTTCAAGCCAAAGGGATCATCATCTTCAACTCCAAAGGCGCCTCTATTAGCTCCTTTTCCGTCGGGATTCCATGCGCTGGGGTCGCCCAAGTTAATTGGCGCAGCTGCTGGGGTGCCATTCGCCGGAGTTGATCGATGCGACTCGGGAGGGGGGTAATAACTCGAATTGTCGACTTTGGTATCCTTGTTAAAGGCGGCAAAGAGGTCGTCGTCGTCGACTTTTGGCGTGTTCGAGATAGGTGGTGGTTGTAAAGCAGGGCTCGTCGATGCACCTCTGCTTCCAAGTGCATCCCAGAACTGTCCATTACCAAACTGGGCCTCCTGTTGTTTCCTCCTCTCCTCTTCCTTCTGTCGCTTCTCAGCCTCAAGTTGCGCCTGTCGCTCAGCCAAACTCAGGTTCTGCTTCGACTTTGCAGGTCCAAAATTCATCAAATTGCTGAAACTATCCTGCGATGGCTTCGTCGGCGCAGGCTTAGGGGCCACGGATCCAGAGCCCTGTGTGGACAGAGGCGTGTTACGGCCTGAGCCCAAAGGGGATGGTGTTGGTCGCATAGGCGCGAACGCTGAGTTCATAATAGGCGGCTTCGGTTGGCCGCCGGCTGGCTTAGAAGACCAATCGAGGCCTGAGAGGTCGTCCATCGTGGAATATCTGGTATGTTATTGGGAATACTTAATCATAGTACGAGAAGTGAAGTAGTTGTCTGTTATCGCAACTGCGAGATGCGACCCCAGCCAGGGGCCGCATTCGGATGTGGGGTTTTGTGTGGCTGTGCATGGCTTGTGGCTTATCACATGGTTTTGTAAGGTACAGGCGGATCAGGTTCAGAGCGTTCGCTGACTCCTGTTTGCTTGGTGAAATCGATTTAAGTGAAACGATCATACTTTCAAGCAGAGTCTGTATATTTAATTAGATACCTCGCCTCCAGGTAACTCTGACGAAGGAATGTATTAAACTTGGCAAACCATTGTACTCGCAACCCCAGCAAGCCATGTTTGAAAGGAAAGACGTTGATTGATGTTAAAATGCCACTGTTGTCTCCCATACCAGCTGCAGGTTTACTGAAAAGAATGGCAGGCAACTACTTGCCAGTCCTAAAGGCATGCAAGACTGCTTAGACTGTAATAATGTATGTACTCCGGACGAATAAGTGTCGCCATTGACAAAACTTTTTCACTTACACACCATGCATCGCCTACCCTGCATACTCTGAAGGTTGACATGGTCAACACCGTCATTATTCGCAAATGTACTCCGTACGGAGTACGATATTATAGGGTCGTCGGTAAGTGATAACGAACAAGGCACAGCTGACGATGTGAGCCACTAGGATCCTATAATTTAACACTGCGTCGTATTACACTTATGATCAGTTGTGTTATCAATGATGTTTCGTGATGAAACAAGGCGATCGTATCCAAAATGCCCAAACAACGCGGATATTGGGCACCAGGACCTGTTCTCAAATTGGATTGTACCATCGTTACAACAGCTATAGTAGTACCAATAAATAGAACAACTAAGGAGTTTTGGGTGGTTCTGGACTACCTACTGTTGCAAACGGGCATGACGCTGGTTCAACGAGCTTTGAGGCCACCGAGAAACATGGTCCCGATTGCACTGGCATCCATGAAACTCACTCTGATTAATGAGCTGAAGATTTGCGGATCAAGTATTTAATTCACGCCTGTATAGGTAATTGCAATGTCGATTCAATAATGCCTCGTGCTGGCACTCAATGTCAAGGGAGATTGGACAAGTAAATCATACTGTAACAGATCTACGTTGAAGCGTGGTCTTAGCAATTGGAGGGAGCGAAAACTAACTGACTGGTATGAGCATTGAACAGCCAAAGCGTAGTGATCGAAATCTCCCAAAAATTCAAAACCAACAAACATAGCTAAGGAAGCCAAGATTCTTAAGTTGAAAGATATTAATTATGTCGGTCTTTATTTACGATATTTACGGAGTACAGGGTCACCACTTTTGCTAGCTAATTTCAGAGTCCAGACTGAGGTCATCCCGCCGTTAAATGACCAGCGCCACTCTCGATTATGATAGGGGTTTGGGTGGCAGTGAGGAACAGACAGCCTTTGATTGGCTGGTATCGGAAGTGAAACCCGTTTCAGGCATCTTGGCCCCTCAGATATTCCAACCCCTGGATATAAATCCTTATGCAAAGCAAATAAATGTCTGGGAATCTACAACGTTGAAACTCTCGTGGAAACATGCCAACGAAACAGACAAATGACGATGAACACCCAGGACCTGAAGATCATGGCCATCAATCAGCTCTCCTTTAGGGAGGTTTGAGGTTTCGCTCGTTACCACTTAGAAAACCCCTTGTCTCTCCCTTTGTCTTTGAGGTTTGCACCCTTGCCTCGCCCACGACACTAGCAAACCAGCCATCCGCAAACTCGACGACACCCAATCTGAGACAATTTACCAGAAGCAGTCCAACGTCGTCATAGCCACACAGATCATGAGAGAGTAATTAGCGACCGATCTAACCGTGAAGGACCAGCATGTCCTAGCCTTCTCTTTAGTGTGTAATAGAATGCCGTACGAAGGAGTTCTTGGCCATTCGATGTTATGCAATCATTTAAGCAATTGTGCACGTGGTGGAGCCTGCGCGACTCTGCGAGGCGCAGGAATCCAATCAATGTTTGGTTGAACAGTGAAGATCTGTAGATTCCAATCTGGAGAG